GAAATCATGAAACAGCTGGAAAGCCACTGCGTGTTCCATTAGAGATATCATGGAGACGGAGACGTGTAGACTCAGGCTGGACTTTGCAGTTCAACATGTTTGAACAATTGAACCGGCTGCTCTGAATGGGGGGGGGGGGGGGGGGATAGACAGCCAATCACATTGGTTTTGATTATTGCCACAGAGGTGCTGTGGAACCCAAACACCTGAGTGAAACTGAACAAGCTTTGTCCTGTCACTACGCTCCGAAGACACTCGTCATACCAGTTTGTCCAAAAATCAAAGTCTTGGTACTATGTGCAGCCTGTTAGCCTGCTGCTCTGAAGAGAGACTGAAACACCTGAAGATGACCTTTGACTCACACAGTTCATCTCTCTGTGTGCCTCCAACAAAGTGAGCGGAATACTTCCTCATTTGAAGTGTGTTGTGTTATATGTACAGTGTCAGGCTCCAGACTATTGTCGTAGCAACCACCATACAGAGAGTGTGGCATGGGCAAAGGATTGAGGAAGCCAATGATCTCACACACCTGCAAACTCACATGTTGGTAAACCGGACTGTAAAACAAGCCAAACCACATTGCTGATGTTGGGTCATTACAGAGTCAGTAGAGTAAGGAGCAATTCTATTTAGTTTCAATGAGTTCATTTGAAAGTGCGTGCGCTGCTGCAAAGAGGGGGCAATGCTTGTTTTTACATTTCCTATTTCGAGTGTACTGACATGTCCAAATTGCACATCTTGGGTCCCCAGGAATACACCCATCAAGTGTGGACTTCGGAACTGTTCCCAACATGTTCTCTTGTGCAGAATAAACCGGTGTTCTTGTTTATTACATTTGTAACCATTTTTCAAAACACTTATAACGAGTTATACTTTTAAAAAGTCGTCACGACAAAAGTTGCCGTTTTAAAAAGTGGTGGGGACATGTCCCCAGTGTAAAGGACACCTATGGGTATACGCCTCCTCTCCTATTGGTCCACAGTAGGACATGTGGAATGCTGCTGGTCCGGGTGCTAATGCAGCTAAAGTGCCTATATTTACTGCTCGGCTATTTAGCTCTCTGTAGAACATGCATCATATCACATGGAAAGGTAAACATGAAAGCAACAGTGGAGTAGGAGGTAGGTTTCCTCCTGAAACATTGTGGAGATCTTCTGTGTTCATCCCTGATATGTACACTCTTTACACGCGTCTATCATCTGAGACACAGGTGGCTTCTTCTGTTTCAAAGTAAATAACATATTCCTGTCCATTTCTGAGGCCCATGTATCTGACGGTGCTTATTGCTTACATCACAAATATTATTTTAATAGTTCTCTCTCCGTTGCTGCTATTTTGCTCCCTTTCTTGTGTCCTTCCCTCTTTTCTTCCTTCCTTCCTCCTCCTGTCTTTCTTGTGTGCAGGATAATGGGCACTGAGGCAGATCACCTGATGAGGAAGGAGGCCTAGCGTAGCGCGCCACTCCCTCAGAGGCCTCAGGTATTCCTGCATTCCTCTCAATGATAATTGAAGGTGAAAAACAGCCACGGTTTCACCTGAAAGCTAATCTCCTTCAGACTTCTGGATTCAGAGTCTGGCTGTCAGACGTCCTCATACTTCAATAATCAGAGGGTCATAATAATCAGAGGGTGCAAGTAACTAAGTACATTTACATAGTACTGTGCTTAGGTACAATTTTGAGGTAGTTGTACTTTATTTGAGTATTTCCATGTTATACTACTTTGTACTTCTACTCCACTACAGTTCAGATTGTAGCAGTGTAGCTGCTCCAGCTCCTGGGCGGGGCTCTCAGTGATTCTCTGCAGCTCAGCCTGTCTCATCTTGTCTCTCTCCGCATTGCGTCCCATTCCATCTGCTCATGTCTCCTTTAGCCTTCAGCCTGGGATGGGTTTTACTTGATCATGTTCTCTTGACCTTTTGCCTCACAGGAAGTTGGGAGTATTAGATGAATACACTGTTTAGTTGTTTTTATCTAAGAAAACAGCAACACACTCGTAGTTATCTCAGGTTCTGGAAACAATATTTGAGCTGACTGCCTTCTTGGAGATCATCAAACAGAATCTGGCTGACATGTTGGAGTCTCTGACAGGTGTTAGAATACAAACATCCCATCATGTGTACCCTGTCCACACAGAGGCTTTCCTTCATTAAGGACACATGCCCAAAAAACAGCAGCATGAAGTCCAGTTCAGTCAGAGTTGAAGTCTGAGGAAGAGGAAGAGGAAGGCCTGAGTGCAGCTCCAACTGTGCCACCTGGTGGTCACACATCATACCTCTGTAGCTTAGAATAGAATGGGAGGGATGAAACCCTCTTTAATGCTCACACATGCAGAGCACACAGTGACATTTGTTCTCTGCTTTTAACAGACCCGGCTTCAGACTGTCTATAAAATGTCATTTAAAAAAAAGTGGAGTGAGAGTCTACAGCCTCTGTAACATAGCCATTATGCTAATGATAATGGTGGCGGTCTATCAGTGTGTGTATTTACAGTAAGGTTTTACAATATCCAACGTATTATTAAACACTGAAATCTGTGATTTTGTTTGATAGCTTTTGCTGTTGAGTTTATGTTTATATGCTGCAGGCGAGACCTATGTTCAATATAGATACTTAAATAATAGCATATTTTATATAGATATATGTAAATCATAGATATATTACCATTGAACAGCATCAATTAACTAAGTACTGCATTTAAGTACAATTTTGAGATACCTCTACTCCCTGTTCACACACGACTGCGTGGCCACACACAGCTCCAACACCATCGTGAAGTTTGCTGACGACCCGACCGTCATCGGCCAGATCACCGACGGCGACGAGACGGCGTGCAGAGAGGAGGTCGAAAACCTGACATCTTGGTGCCAGGAGAACAACCTCCATCTCAACGTCAGCAAACCATAGAGAGGAAGAAAGCCCTCAGGATTACAAAAGACCCCCATCACCCCAGCCACAAACTGTTCTGTCTGCTGCCGTCTGGCAGGCGGTACGCAGCATCCGGACTAAAACCACCAGACTCAGGGACAGCTTCACCCCACAGGCCATAAGACTGTTAAACACCTGTTGAAACATCCATAACATTCATCTGGCTGCTACTTAGGAATTATTTATCTAATATATCATATTCCAATCACCTGTATATAGACTCTTATTGCACTATTTTACAATTATTTTTTTTGTATTTACTTGCACTATTTTTTCTGTTTTTCTGTATTATTGTGTTGCATTGTTGGAGGAGCCTGTGACCTAAGATGTTCATCGTCATAACTACACTGTAGCTATGTTCGTATGACAAATCAAAAGACCAGCCTTACTGCTACTTTGTACTTCAGAGGTATATAATATATTGCATTTTTAAACCAATACCTTTAGTTACTTCACAGATCTGGATGAATGATGGTAAATATAACCAAGTGTTGAATCAGACTGTAGTTCCACCTGGAGTAAATCCACCAGCTACCCTGCAGTATACAAAGTCATTCAAACTAGCTGCACCTTTACCAGCTTTGAGAACACTTTCATGATCATGATGGGGGGGGGGGGGGGGGGGGTGCTAGTGACTTATCCCACATCGTCCGTCCGACCCACTTCGGTAGCGGACGTCCCGATGGCCAGTCCGCCACTGGTGCCCGCTCAGCCTGGGCCCCTCCCTGTCCCCTCACCTACAACACTTGCTCCCGATGGCATGGCCAACGGTGTGTGAATGTGTATGCATGTTAGTGTCCTAACTGCTCTGTGTGAATGGGTGTGAATGGGTGAAAGACATGTAGTATGTAAAGCGCTTTGAGGGGTCTTAAAGACTGGATAAAGCGCTATATAAGTACAGTCCATTTACCATTTACCAGCTAATCACCGCCCCAAGTGTTCACATAAACATAGGGGGCTCACAGTATCTATAAATAGATTACATGTACAGCTCTGAGACCACTCCCCATGTTTCTTAAATCTCTTTCTCTACATGTACGGCAGCCATTCCATTCCAGTGTCAGCAGATTATAGAATCAAATAAAAAGAAGTACATTTGACTCAAACACATACCTATAAATAGTCAAAGCAGAGAAACTGATCATTTTGCAGGGCTCTATGAATATCTTAAAGCAGCTTATCAGTGTGCTTAACTTGTTGTGTTATTTTAGCACAAACCACAAGAGCCCCAGAGCTGAGGGTCCGGCTGAGGGTTGGTCCTGTTCCAGATTGAGAAGTCCCTGGACGGGCCCCCCTCCCTCTTTAGGGTTCATGGCCTGCGACCCTCTGTGGACTACTTGTATTCTTTTTCTATAACTGCAATATTCATAAAGTATGGAAGGCAGCATCACACACATCTGTTCAGTCAATGTCTCTAATGAATTCAAGTTGGAACAACAGCACTTTTATGACCTACAGGTTTTATATATCGTAAACTTAAATACTGCCGCAGTCGGGATTTGATCCTGCAATCTTGCGGACATAATCTCCTTCAGAAATGAATACTTGAATACTACTTCAAATACTTTTAAATGCCTTAGAAGGAAAAGTGGGTGCTACAGAATTGTGTTTTCCTCTCTTTCCTCTCTCTAACCCCCCGACAGACTTTTCTTCCTCAGCTTCAGTGTGTGTGTGTGTGTGTGTGTGTGTGTGTGTGTGTGTGTGTGTGTGTGTGTGTGTGTGTGTGTGTGTGTGTGTGTGTGTGTGTGTGTGTGTGTGTGTGTGTGTGTGAGGAAGAAGAAGATGTGGCAGAGCGTTAATATTTCTTCCATCACAAATCCATTCCTTTCTAAAAACCTTGTTACATTTTTCAATAATTAAGACTTGTTTTTTGCAAGTCAGTGGTCAGAGTGCATACAGAGCTTAGAAATAGAGCTCCAGGATGAAGATTTGAAGATGACTGTCATTGAGTCGTTCAGCAGGGTGTGTTTGGTTTCTTACTCGATCCAACTTTGGGACTACTTATTCCTGTCTTCAATAGCCTGAAATGCCCTTAATGCAGAATATGTATACAGTAATTGGCAATAAATACAGATTTCTTGGATTGTAATGTTTATTGAATCCCCAGCAGTTATGACAATGTTCACAATGTGGCTCCATTCCACCAATAGTTGCTTTCATTTGTAAACACAAAAAACAGTCAAACTACTTCAACATAAACCCATAACATGATCACTCCCCCTACACGACACCCTTTATATGGAAGGGATGAAAAGCCCCGCCCCCAAGAACAGTATTTCCAGGAATCCCACTTTCTGATAGGTCAAGGGATTCCTGGGAAAACTGGACCCCGGGAGAGGGGAGAAAGACAGAGAGCCCCCCTCCTCACATCAGCTCAGGATCTGCCCCCCCCAGCCGTGAAGCTGGGCTCCATACACGAGCAGACGGAATCATCGTCCTTTAAACTCCTTAACTACGGATGTCTGAAATATTACAGGTTTAGCATGCTTACTTTAAGTTATTTATTCAATTATTTAAAGAAAACATATTAATACAATATATTACATATAATACAAATATTTACAGTATATAGGAAGGTGAAAAACGTTCACATTTGTCCCATTTCCTCAACTTATTTTAAGGTCTGGATGTAAACAGAAACCACATCCTGACATTGATCAACCCGCTGTTTGGGTCCTCCGTCCCGAGCTACAGTGCTTCATCTCAGACTACCAGCTGACCGGAGATGCAGCACTGCACCCTGGGCCGCAGGGAAGAGCACGAAGTCAGCTGGAGGACAGACAGAAGAAGAAGAAGAAGCCATGTTTCACTGTGTTTATGTATGAACCATGTACACCAAGACAAATTCCTCGTCTGTGTAAACCTACTCGCCAATCAACCTGTTTCTGATTCTAATGTCTCTATACTGATTTCACTTCGACACCGTTCGCACAGTCTGTTACAGTTACAGCAGAATCAAGAGACTTCTCTAAGCATCATGAAGTACAAGAGTTAACAGAGGACCAACGTGACCAATCAGATCACAGAAAGCACCACACAGACACACACACACACACACACACACACACTACTCACCTCCCTGTTTCCTCGGACATCTGAAATGAAACAGACGTTGTTGAGAGAGAGACTTTACACCACACACAGCTGAGCTCCTACAGTCTCATTTCAGCCCTGAACAAAGTAGAACCCGTAAAGTCATGTTCTTCTGAAACATGGGCATCATATGTATGTACAGATATTATTTTTAAACTGCTTACGGGAACTCTTCTCTCTGGAACCACGTCGGTCTAAAGTACAGACCCCATCTCTGTGTAGGGTCCTGAAGAGGGTCTCTTACCCTCTGTGCAGACTGCAGAATGTCCAGTATCCATAGTCTCAACACCTGATGGAAGATATTTACACATGTTTAAATAAACTGCAGTGCTCTCATTGGCTGTAAGCTTGATGTGCAGTCCCACTGTTATCCTCCGTATCATCAGAGAGCCAGGGAGAGACTCCAGCCTGCCCATATAAGGCCTGAGCCAGCCTTTCTGTTTGGGATCATGGAAAATGGGATTGCTGCTTTAGATAAACATTCCCTCTCCAGTCTGTGATCACTCACACTGATACACCCCCCCCCCCCCCCTCATCCAGCTGGCTGCATTCATTTCCTTTTCTAGTCACAGTGGGGAGAGACTCACTTAAAAGGTAGCAGAGGGAGAG